CGGCCCGCCGGGGCCCAGCTCGCAACCTATCTTCTTGGGGCCTTCTTTATGGTGGACCCGAGGAGCCTCACCCTAACAAGACAAAAGCGGTGCTCTACAGCCGGCACGTCTTGCCTCACTGCTTTGCTCACACGGTGTTCCATGGCCGCGAGAGCGGCTAGTTCATCTGCAAGTGTACCCCCGCACGCGAAAGAACGATAAGAACGGCCATGCGAGATATCATGCTCAATCTGATGCGACCTGATCCACAAGACCACACATTGATCTCTCCGTGCCTCCAGACGACGGCCGATCTCGTGCCACAAGTCAGCGTCCAGCCCCTCGGGTCGCCTGGGGTGCCCGTTGTTAACATTGAGGCAGATACCTTGGCAATCGGTGACGTTGGTGGTGTCTCCTACAGGGACCGTCAATGCCAGAAGGATGGCAGCCAATTCGCCTCGCACGACAGTCTGGCGCTCGCCCTCGAGAGGCCCCCAGATAGCGAGCGCCGCGCAGCTCCGTCTCCTGGAGGTCATGGAAACTCGCGATGGCCACGCCTACGCGTCGAAGGTGAAGATGGCTGGTATCCCCTCCTCCGCTCGAGTCGCCGAATGTGCAGGCAGCCCCCTCCACTGCCGTGCCCTGGGCACCCATCATAGACCTCCTCGAACCCGAACGTGGCCCAGGAATGTGTGGCACAGGGAGGCGAGGGTGGCCGTCCAGGAGCTGGGTATGAGGCCGCGGGTCCAGTGGCACTCCAGCATGTCCCGTGGTGCTGCGGCCTCGCCCGTCGTGGAGTCGGCAGCGGCATGGAGTGGGCACGGCCTCCTCTCGGTGCACGCCTGGGTGCGGTGAAAAGCCGTCTCGTTCTTCTCTCCTCCTCCTCCTCCTCCTCCTTCTCCTCCTCCTCCTCCTCCTCCTCCTCCCCTCCTCCTCCTCCTCCTCCTCCTCCTCCTCCTCCTCCTCCTCCTCCTCCTCCTCCTCCTCCTCCTCCTCCTCCTCCTCCTCCTCCTCCTCCTCCTCCTCCTCCTCGGGACACCTGGGGCTCATGCCGTCAGACTCTGCCGCAGTCTGAGCTTGCACGCGTGCCTTGGGCCAGGCGCTGCCGACCGCGATGGTCAGCATGACGGCGGCTAGGCGGACTCCATTCTTATCTTCCCAAGGTAGCAGAGCAGCTTGCGGTAGGATCTGTTGTCGATGCCCTGTGCCATGCCTGACCCGCCGTAGTGCTCACTGGCCTGCTTCCAGTACCTGTCCATGACGGTCTGGTCGAAGTTCTTGAGCAGTGCCTCTGGTATGTCAACGGAAGCGTTCCCCGTGAGGTCGTTAGGGCCAAACTGCCAGGTGAACTGGTTGGTGTCATTCGGAGCTGCTGGTGGCAGTTCCCATCTGTTGGCCTGATGAGGTTGCCACTTGTGCTCCATGAAATACAACATGCTCGCCGACTGTGGGCCTCGGCTGGCGGAAGTGGTCCACGACCTTGGTCCACGTGAACTGGATGGTCTTCTGAATGGCCCCCGCCTGGATACAAGTGGTGAACAAAAGCTGGATGGCCTCCCGTGGGAAGCGTCGGGCGCCGCGTGGCCCTGGCGAGCCTCACGATATTGCGGTGCATGAGGCCATGGCGAGCCTTCCGCTGACCGCGAGCGGCTCGGGCGTGTCGGACTCCAGCGCCAAGGTCGGCTCCCAGGTAGCTGGCCTGGGCCGTGGCAAGGGCTTAGGATCCGGTTCTTTCGAACAGAAGTCGGATGACTCTGTTGTTGGAAGTCGTTGTCACTGCTGCTGTTGGGGGAAAACGGTTCTTTCGGATAAGAATCGGGTGCGATTTGAGTTCTATGGTGTTCCGGGTGGCCCGGGGGGTCCTTGGGGGCAAGGCCCCTGATTGACGGACACGTCCCATACAGAACCAACACTGGGAACATCAAACATTCGTGCACCGAGAAGGCAAGCATGCAATATTTGAAGGGCTTGGCGCGGAGGAGGAGGAGGAGGCAAAGGATGTAAGAGGAAATGGGGCGGGGCAGGAGAACGATGGTGGCGAGAAGGAGGGAGAGGATGCGGACGAGAACCAGGATGCACAACAGGAGAAGGATGGATCATAAACAGAGTTGTCGATGCGGCGGGGCAGAAAGAGAATGATGACGATGACGAGGAGAAGGAGAGATGTATATAATGAGGAAGGAACTGGGGGTGCACATCTGGGAGTCCTTCTCGCTATCCATCCTCGTCCTGCGCAACAGATGACGAAGATAGTCGTTTTCGGCTGCGGCGCCATTTTGGTTGATCAGACTGCGGCAGCATCTTGCCCGTCTGGCCTCCAAACTGTGGCAGCTTCTTGGTGAGGATTGATTCGGCTGCGTGTTCAGAATGGTGCGACGAGTGAGCTCTCAATGATGACGGTACTGGTCTGAGATATCAGGCACTGGTCTGAGAAATGAATGTGCCAGGTATGGAGCAACCAAACTTGGTTGCAAATGGTGAGCTGAAACGCTAGGCGGCCACGACTGTCCGGAGGAAAAAATGTAGAACATAGGGGCCAGTGGATTGAGCGCCAAACTCTCTGGGGATTGCGTGGGAATTGAAGGTGAGCAGGAGTTCTGCTAGCCAGCCATCATCATGTGTGAAGTCACACGCATTTTCGACCGCCCGAGACCAAATCAAAAGGGGGAATAGCCTGAGAAATCTAAAGATGCGTAACAAACTGTTCTGCAACATTCACTTGTATATCACATGGAATTGTCCCCGCGCCCCACGCTCAGCCGTCGAGAGGGACTCCGCGCCGAAGATTACGTATCGCACACTCGAACTGCAACAAAACATTAGTCGTCACCAGCGCAGTCCGCACGCCGAGCCAGAAGCATCGTGGTAGGCACAATCGCCATGAGCTCACTGCGAACAAAAGTGTGCCTCTGGCATCGCGTAGCTATGGCTCTGCGGCTGGTCGCCTCCAGCCCTGAAGCATGATCTCCAGCACTACTTGTCCCCATCCCCATTCTCTGGTCTCGCTGGCAACGGGACCCTTGGAGAGGCAGTCGAGGCCATCCAGAATCTTGGCGGAACCTGGGCCCGCGTACTCCACTTGCTATTCAACAAGAACTGACGGGAACACCAGTCAAACGTACTACAAGATCGCAGCAAGCACGCAATCGGGCCAGGCCATGGCAACCGGGACGGCGCGGGCCAAGAAGCGGCGCAAAGGGAGGCGTTCGCAAACGACGGGACCATCGAGCACGGAGCCTCAAGCCAAGAAGGCTCGAGCCAAGGAGGGAGGAGGCAGGAGTGGGGAGGGAGGGGGAGGACGAGGAGGACGAGGAGGACGAGGAGCCCCTCTTTTCCAGACCACCCTCCTCCCACTCTCCTCCTCCTCCGCCTCCTCCTCCGCCTCCTCCTCCTCCTCCCTCTCCTCCTCCTCCTCCTCCTCCTCATCCTCCTCCTCCTCCTCCTCCTCCTCATCCTCCTCCTCCTTCGCCTCCTCCTCCTCATCCTCCTCCTCCTCCTCCTCCTCCTCCGCCTCCTCCTCCTCCTTCGCCTCCTCCTCCTCCCCGCCCGAAGACACCACGCAGCCCTGCCAGCGGGCCGGACCCTGGCCCGACCTCCAGGCTCCCCGGAGCTCCGCCCCCCCGCCCCCCCCCCGCCCCCCCGCCGCGGAGACCCCGGGGGGAGCGGCGGAGACACGGGCCGCACGAGCACCTCACTTCGGAAAGGCCGCGCGGGTGTCGTGGGTCTCGCGTCGGCGCTGGCTGGGCACTCGGCGGCGGGGGGAAGGCGAAGGAGTCCAAGACTTCTCATCCAGGAAACGCGGTGGCCAAGCATCGCAAAAAAAGCCTGAGCGGCCAAAGATCGCCAGAGCCGCGTCTCTCGACAGCACGCGAGTCGGAGCAGGCAGCAAACATATTGGCACGCCGGCTCGGGGTCACAATGCCGAGGGGGGAAGACTGACGAATCCTTCGCCGCTGCTCCTCCCTCGATCGCTCTGGAGCCAAAAGGAAACGAGATCCCGAAAAACATAAAGACTCTGGGCCAAAATGACGATTCAAGCTCCTCCCTCGATCGCTCTGGGACTGCAGGAGAATGGCCTCAAAGAGGCCCTGCGCCGCCCGCGACAACTGCCACTGCCACCGCGGGCCCCCAAACGTGCTGCAACGGCGCGCCTTTCTTCGCCCGCCCGACGTCGTGCTCTCGTTTTTCGCAGCGTGGCTTCCCAGAAATCTGGACTCCTTCCCTGGGACCGGCTTTTCATCCTGAGTCCTGGGGCCCAGTGAGGGGGGGGGCCTAAAATTAGCAAGAGTCTTCCACCGTGATGTTGTGTCACAAAGCGAGCTGGTCTTCGGGTCATAACTCGTGCCTCCGGCGGCCGTTCGGGACGATCCCGACACCCCGGGAACGCCCTCGACGAGGCGCAGCCACTTGAGAGCACCCCGAGGCTGGAAAGACGCCGAGAACCGACGCAAACGCCCGAAAACCTCGAACCTCGAACCTCGAACCCGAAAGCGAGGCGCTGTTAGGGTTCTTGTCTCCCCCTTAGGAAGAGCAAGAACGGCATGAACATAAACTGTTGGGGGTTGGCGCGGATGCCATAGATTGGCGCTGACCAAAATTAGTTTCTTCTTCGAGTCAGGGTTTCTGGCCCCCCCCCTTGCCGAGCTTGGCGGCGCGCCGGGGGGGGGAGAAGAGACAAGGGGCGTGCCTTCTCAGAAGGCTCGGAAGGCCTCCGCACTTCTGAAAAAGCTTTCTCAGCCCCTCCCGAAGGCACAGAGAACCTCTCAGAGGGCGCGAGGGCTTCCGACGAGCCCCGCCTCCCTCTGAGAAGGCCTTCTTTCTTCTCGCTTACCCCTCTCGCTCGCCGCCACTGGCCATCGCTCGGACGCCCATTCCCTGTGCTTTTTCTGGCTTCGTGCGTGGCTTTCTCGCAAAATGATCAAGGATGCTCCTCGATGGCCCTCGCCGAAGGAAAAACGCACACGTCCGAGCGATGCCAGGGCCAACGAGCGCCCGAGGACCCCCCCCCCACACGGCAGCGCCTCTGGCGCCGCCCCTGGCGCGCTCCGCGCGCTCGCTGCCCTCCTGGCCGCGCGCGCTGGCGGCACGGCACCCTGCCGAAGGCTTTCTCGTGGATGGCACGGCGCCCCCCGCGGCGCAAGAGGCGCGGCGGGCTCCCGGCCAAGCAGGAGCAGAATAATAATAATACTACTACTACTACTAATAATAATAATAATCATACTAATAATAATAATCATAATAATAATAATCATAATAATAATAATAATAATGATAATACCAATACTAATAATAATACCAATAATAATAATATTGATAATAAAAACAATAGGAATAAGAAAATTATAAAGAAAAAGAGAAGGATGATTAGAAATGGCGATCAAGAATATGATAAATAAGACAATGCTAAATACTTTTTTTTATATAAATTTTTTTTTAATGGACCCATAGTGGCTCAGGAGGCTCCAGGGGGGTCCCAGTGGAAGGCGGTCGACACCTTGGTCGAGCAGTCCGAGGAGACCATGGCGAGAGGGGGGGCCCACTGTCCGTAGGGAGCGCCTGCCTGCCGAAGGGCAAGCAGGACAAGAGACAGCCGCGTTCCCCCACGCGGAGCCCCCACCCTCGCCATCTGTCGGGCCCAGGCGCGGGAGTCGCGCCAGGTCACTGAAAAGAAGAGAAGGCCAGCGGGGAGGACACGGAGCTACTCCGCGATGCCCCACCCCGCAAGGGCCAGGTGGCACTCTCGATCAGCCCACATCTCCATCTGCAGACGGCCCCAGAGCTGGCGGCAGGCCTTGTGTCGACGGGCCTGCACCCGCAAACGCGCCTCGAAATTTTGCTGAGGCGAGCCAGGGAGACGCAGACGGAAGGCTGAGTGTGCGCACAGAAATGCATCACATAGCATAGCAGCCAAGAGGCTGGCGTCGGGCCCCAACCCGTGAGACAGAAGAAGGGAGGCTAGCCAGGGCGAACCCTCAGAAATCGTTGGAGCCCAAGGACCCATCCAAGATAAGAATAATCGCTGAAGCCGAGGACAATGAAGGTAGTGTTTCATGTCATCTAGGTCAGAGTCGGGGGCCTCGGAGTTCACGCATCCCAAGAGACAACCACGAGGAAGGGAATGGAAACGCGAACTCGTGCAGACACAACGGGAGAGGATACGAATCACGGACAGAGGGATGTACATGCTGCACCTGGTCGCAAGAGGCTTGAGACGATGAAGGACGAAGGTAAGGGAGTCCAGGGAGGTGCCAGGGATCCAGTTGTTCACCCTTCTGAGGAGCGCCAGGATAGGGGGGTTTGCGGGAGTGAAATACTGCTTAAACTTTTCTTGGTACTGCTTCTGAATATCCTTACGCTCAAACAAGATCTCCAATTTTTGCTGGTCGACCCATTCCTTAAACGAGAAGAGCTTGGCGGCAAACGAGGTGGTGTTCCAACCAGCGATCTTTCTCTCAATACACCAATCGTCATCGGCGAAAGTACTGTCATAGAACTGGCGCAGCCTCGGGAATTCGTCGCATCTGGCGATGTAACGGGCTCTGGAGGAGGCGGCGACAAGTGTGATGTGAGGGAACTCAATGGGGAGGCCGAGCTGGGTGAGGTTGCAACACATGTCATACGATAGAGCGTTATTCGGGCCTGCAGTCAACAAACGCACGCAGGCCTGGTATGTCTTGATGAGCGGGATAGAGGGCGCATGCACCTGCGACATAAAGTACAGCAGCGATACACAGTACGCTTTAAACAACACAATCGACTGGGCAAGACCCAAACCAAGGTCCCTGATCTCGCTCGTCCTCTTCCGAAGCTTGATGATGTTTTCCTCCCAGGTAACCTTTTCCGCCCCCATCCCGATCCAGACACCTAGGTATTTCAAAGAGACCGCGATCTCTAGGAGCTCCAGCTGGTGGCCTAGGTCCGAGAGGAGGTCCTGGAGGGGCTCCTTGAGGTTGGGGTAGGCGAGGAGGACCTGACACTTGGGGAGGTTGAGGGCAAGGCCAATTGCAGGCTGTAAGCTCCGTAGGCACTCGAATAGGGGGCCAATCCCATCAAACAGACACCGTAGGCCAAAACAGAAATCATCAGCATATGCAAGGGAGAGCTCAATGTGGTCGGGCAGGCGCCAGGCCAGCCACGCAAGTACAGGCTCCACCGCAAGAGTAAACAAAAGCATAGAGCTGGGGTCGCCCTGACGAACGCCTCGTTCAATGGCAAAGCTGTCCCATGGCCGACCGAAAAGCGAAATCGTGGCAGTGTTATTGTCATAGAGTTCCTTGAAGAAGTGGACCACGTCACCAGGGACCTTCATTTTCTCCAGGACGTGGAGGACCCAGGGGACAAAGATCGAGGGGAAAGCAGACTCAAAGTCTGTTAGGACCAAACCAGACGTGTACCGATCTTTAATGTGCTTCTGAAGGATGAACAACTCAGCTTCGATAACATTCACAATCATGTCCCGTCCCCTGAAACATTTTTGTGGGGACCGTAACAGGTTCGATACTGCAACCTTCTTGGATAAAGTCCAAGCCATGGAAGAAGAGAGAAGCTTGCAATCGGTGTTCGTCATGCTAAGCGGACGCGTGACCTGCGGCTTCCTAAAGACACCCTCCCCGACCTCCTGTTCAGTGATTTTCTTAGGGAGGGAAATCATGATGGCATTTTTCATGTCGATGGGGAGGTTCGAGGTCGGGTGAGTGAACAGGCGGCAATAGCAGTCGTACAGGGCGTTCTTGGCAGCGGGTACCTTCCAGGCCGAGTAGGGAATGCCATCCTCCCCAGGCATGCTGTCCATCTTACGGCGCACCAAGTCATCCCACTCCTCCTCTCCCAGAATCCATCCCTCCTCTTGAAGCTCGTTAAAAGTGGCGTTGGCAGGGGCAGAAAGCGGCTGGATGAAACGCGAGAGCTCAGGCCAAAGCGAGGTGTCCACCTCGGGCGCGGCAAAGACCTTCTTCCAGTGCTGCAGAAGAGAGTCGGCAGCTTCGGCCTCAGAGAAACTCGGGGTGCCCGTTTCCGAGAGGGTGCCCTGGAGCCAGGTGCGACGCTTCATTTTCCTCCATAGTTCTTTACGGTTGTTGATCTTTTTGCGGGCGCTGACAAGGACCTCCTCAGGGATATTCCCAGCACCTGCCTCGAGCTCACGCTCTTCTTCTGCAAGCAAAGAGATGTGAAGACAATGCTAAATACTATGATAAAGAAGAAGAGCATGATAAAGAAGAAGAATAATATGATAGTAAGAAATGACGATGCATAGCAAAGCAGCGAATTAGAAACACCAGACAAACAAATCACAACAATGACAATAATGAAGATAGTACGAGTGAAAATAAATATACGAATAAACAGACACCTGCGATACATCATGAATGCGATCCAATGATAACAATAGCACTGACAACTGCAAAGCAAACCAACTTTCGGAGTTCCGCCTCTGGCGCCGCCCCTGGCGCGCTCCGGGAGGCCACGCCTGTGCAAGGAATCTGCGCGGAGCTCCGAGTGTGTGTGTTGCCTTCTTCGGCCAAGACTTCCGATGTGTGGAATGAGTCGGGGCGCAAGGCCCACCAACCCTCTGGGGCCGAGGTGGTCTGTGCAGGGCGCTTCCTCTTCCGACCCCCTTCTTCCCCCTCGGTGAAGGTTTACTAACGCTGCTTATCAATAGTCACACCCTCCAATTCTCGACCAGCGACCGACCAGGAATACCGCCCCCCCACCATCTTTGTCAAAAACTATGGCATGCACACTCGGCGGCAACATACTAGATCATGTTCGGGCGGCTCTAGGCGATCACTTTGTATTGTTTGTTGACCGGGACGCCAGGGGTGCCTTCACATTGCCCGCTGTGCGCAGGCCCAACGTCTCTGTCAAAAACAATGCTGGCAATCCCGCCATTACTTTTCAATGACTTTAACAAGGGTGGTGGGGAATCAATAGGCCGATGTGTGCTGTGACCTGCGCTGGTGCACCCAGGACACGGGTGGAGCACATGGCACTCTGGGCGTACGTGCAGCATGTGTCTCATCTAACGCACCAGGGGCGCTCATGCCAATGGAGCAATTACCTGGTGCACGTGGTGCGCGTGGCGCACCTGACAGGCGTGGCGCACCGATGGTCGTCAAAATGGCGGCCCCTGCCTGTGCCGAGACTCGGGTGCTACTTCTGTAGTGGGAGCGCAGGTGGGAAGGTGCGAGACGGCGTGCGGCGCCACCGCTGAAAGCTTGACCTCTCCTCTTTCCTCCTCCCCCTGGGTCTGGCTGGGCAGCCCCGCGAGGTGTGAGAGGATCCCCTCTGGCCCAAAATGTCTCCAGGACGACCCCAGAGCCCAAGATGGCTTCCGGAATGGCGCAAGACAGCCCAAGATGGCTCAAGATAGCTTCCAACCCACATCCACGAGGCCTCAAGATCGCTCCAATCCAGCTACAAGTGGCCATGGAGCCTCCCAAGGACGCTCGCGACAGGCCGCGATGCTTCCGAAACGTCTGTAGAATCCATGGTTTTGGCCGTCTCGAATGCCTCCAACAAGAGGGGACCAAGAGGGCTCCACGACGGCCCCAAGAGTGTCCAAGAGCGCCCTAGAGGGCTCCACGAAGCGATCTCTGCTTTTCCGCAAAGGAGTTGCTGTCAGGGGACTCCCTTGTTTGACCGATGTCCCCCAAGATGGCCCCACGAGGGCCCCCACAGCTCCAAAGCGAATCCCAAGAGGATCCCAAGATGGCCCCGAAGGCCTCCAAAACAACCCCAAAGGGACCCCGAGATGGCCCGAGTACGCTGCCAAGAGGCTGTCAGATCGAGAGGTCCGAGAAGGCATTTGTGGTTGACACCGGGGTCTGCTCAGGCTGACCCCGAGCTTCGAGTCGACGGCTGGCCCCCCCTCTTTCTCCCACTGCTGGCTCCTACACTCCCTTGATCAGTGCAGCTCGCCTGAACATCGCTTCTGGATGAGCTGGTGGAGGTACGCGGCGCGTCAAGACTTCGACCGCCCTCCTCAGCCTCTGCGGGAACCCGCTTGCAGGGCCATCGCGCAACGACCCTGGGCGAGGACAGACCTCGCGCAGCCTCGTCTCTGT